TCTATAGTGTCAGGGACATATAAATTGTATGTTGTGTGTAGCTGTTCTGTATCCCATTGCAGATGTTTAGTTATCCTGAAATTCCTGTGCATTAAATTAGTAATATTCTGTACTAAATGACGTGCCTGAGGTTTCCATGTCTAAAGTATAAATTGTCCTTAATTACCCAGACATGATTCCCAAAGAGGAATGTAAATGAATGCCTCTGAACTACAATGCAAAGTGTGAACCCGGATGACATTTTCTGCAATATAAATACATGCAAAACAAAGAATTCAATTGTATAATAATTAGTGAACATACCTAAATGCCCTGATTCCTGGTCAGTGCTGGTGCCTTGTGGTGCAGAGTGTGTAATAACAAATTTAATTTTCTTTATTTTACACCCTGTGCTCTGAGCATCCTCTGTATATATTGCACTGAAATAACTGCATGGACTTGCTTCCTAACCCATTTGTCTTTTACGCTTTCTGTGTACAAATATATTTACATTTTATGTAAACTAGACCTATTTCTGTAAGGAAATCGTTGAAACATTGGTGCTGGCCTAATTCCTTTAAGTCAATAACTTGACAAATTTAGAAACATTGCTAGTATTGTTTAGACAAAATAATGTACTTTGATCCTACAGAAATGACATTGTCTTTGGAGTCCTGTTTATATAGATGTTGTTAGACTTCTGTTAGGACTTATGTTTTGTTGCTTGTTACTCCAAAGCTAGACATCCTCTCTCTGGCCAGACACCCATAGATTTTTTTTCATTCAGCCTAGAGGCTGAAAGAGAGAAATAACAGCTACTCCATCCACGCTAAATAGTTTGGATGAACTCATCATCCGCTGCAGCAATAGTAGCTCAACAGTGACTGCATATGATTGGATGCAGGCATGATTTGGCCAAAAAATTTCCACCTGGATCCCTTTCTTTTTTTAATGGGGCAGCACAGTAGCTAAATGGTTAGCACTTCCACGTGGCAGTACTTGGGTCGTGGTTTGAATCCCAACCACGACACTACCTGCCTGGAGTTTGCTTGTTCTCCCTGTGCATGTGTGGGTTTCCTCCGGGTACTCTGGTTTTCTCCCGTACTCCAAAGACATGCTGGTAGGTTAATTGGATCTTGTCTAAATTGGCCCTAGTATGTGTATGTATAAATATAAGTTAGGGACCTTGGATTGTATGCCCCTTGAGGGTTGGGTACTGATGTGAATGTACAGTTGTGTTCAAAATAATAGCAGTCAGACATCACTAACCTGATCAATCACTGTTTTTGGTAGAAATGATATTTCTACATGGCAAATAATTTACTAGCAGGTGTAGTAGAGTAATAGAAATCCAACAGACCCAACAGTCATGACATGCATGCTGCTGATTCTGTGTAATTGAATCACTGATTGAAAGGGGCATGTTCAAAATAATAGCAGTGTGGAGTTCTATTAGTGAGGTCATTCAATCTTTGAAAAACAGGTGGCAATTATTGCCCTTATTTAAGGAAGGAAGGCAGCAAATGTTGTACATGCTGGTTACAGTGCATTTCTCTCTGAAATTCTGAGGAAAATAGGCTGTTCCAGACATTGTTCAGAAGAACAGTCTAATATTCACTTTTCTTCAATTTTTTTAGAGGAACAACACAAATTTGATATATTTTTCTTCATGTTTTGATTTTGAATAGAATGTGTAGTGTTCCCAATGCATTTTGTGTGTATGGAAATAAAAGCTATTAGAAGGATTTTGAGCTTTATTCACTTTTTTCAACACACTGCTAATATTTTGAACACAACTGTACAATATATATTAAGTGCTGTGTAAATTGACGGTGCTATATAAGTACCTGAAATAAATAAATAAAATAAATAATACAAGGATGTTGGGGGGGGGGGGGGTATTACCAACAGGGCCACTCACAGATGGAATTTTGTCCAGTTCATTATTACCTGGATGGACTTTGCTTTAGTGATCAGATTCAGTATTTTCCCTGTGCATTACTTTACAGTCTAAGTTTTACACCCTAAAGCTCGCCATAGATGGATTGAAATTTGGCCTGTTCAGCAAGGACCGGCTGAATTTCAATCCATGTAGGCCATTCCCACTCAACAAAAGTCAATCTAACATTCAAATTCTGATGAAAAGGAGTGTTAGAAGTGCAGCCACTGATCTATGTGTTCGGACAGTTGAGGAATACAATGGCACAGCAGTGAGGACTCCTCCACCCACCATGCTTGTGTACATCAGCTTGCTGTCTTATTGAAAAAAAAAAAAAGAGTCATCTATGACAAGCCTTAATATGGCCGTAAGAGAGAAATGTCACCGGCACACCAAGTATCTCCAATGTGGGTCCAAAAAGGCTTTAATGAAGGTTTACATAGTTACAGCAAGGCAACATTTTGGAGTCTCGCAGGACCCCTTCATCAGGCATGTGACCCTCCTAAATGGGTTTCTGTCCAATATGGCTGCTTTTACACACATATGTGAGCGCTATTACGGCTATTTCATATGAAGTAACTTTAGAGGTCCAAGTTTTCTGGATGTTACTTCCATTACCACACATTTTATCAGCCATTAAAAAAATATCAAGAAATATGTGATATTAGAAAATGAAGATTCAAAGTGAGTTATTTTAATGTAATAGGACCTAATTTTCTAGATGACATACCATATATTTTTTTTATTGTTATCAAGTAAAGTAAAGTTGTCTATCTAGTACATACCCAAATCCTTTTCCCCAGAGCGAAGGTATCATATGTCTGGTTTGACCTTAACACTCATGGTTAGGTGTGTTCGTTGCTGAAATGTTTGGTCTCTGCCGTGAATACGGATTATGTCAGCGGTTAGAAGGGAATAGTGACTCATTGCCTGTTTGTGGATCTGATGCAAGTCTGAGTAATTCTGTCCTAAGGATACTTATATTGGCTGTTTATTATGAGTATGAATCCACGTAGACGTAAATCATTGCTGCACCTATAAAGAAAGATCAGTATGCTCAGTTCAGATCATTTATTTCAACAATCTTTGCAAAGAATGATAACAATCTAGCCTTCTAAATATATTGTTCCTAGTCAATAATTCCAACTCTGCAGATGGACTTTGTGGGGATATAATGTTACATAGGATCATACACATGAAGAATGAACAAAGAATGCAGACCGTTGTCTAATATCTGTGGATAGGATTATTAATGGGTCTTCACAACATGTGCCTGACCTCTAGGAGAATGTTTTATTCATTATATTTATTCAGGCAACAGAAAATATAGAAAGTTATATGTTACTTTAAAAAAAAGTTAGTTTCTAGACCCCATTGCACCATCCATGTGTATGATAGGCACCTCAAGCATTGACATACCGTATTTATCCCTTCCTTGGATAATGTCAAAGCTCAATTTCAGGTTTCACTAGAATTGGGACCCCTGCCCCTAACAGCAGCAGCTGGATGGTGAATGTGAATGGCACACAAATATCACTGTCACTGTGTGACTCTATGGGACTGAAATCCCAGCATGGCATTAGTTGTAGTCTAGAAAGGGTGTGGCCATGACTGCTAGGGTAAGTAGGAAAGGGATTGGGGCCACTGGTCGCCATTCAACCAGGAAATGCTATTGGGTTGTGTTGTGTAAACAATTTACTGAAAACTGACATAGAGGAAGTAGAACAGCAACACCTAGAACACAGGTGTCAAACTGGCGGCCCTCCAGCTGTTGTCAAACTACAAGTCCCATGAGGCATTGCAAGATTAACAGTTACAAGCATGACTCCCAAAGGTTGAGGCATGATGGGACTTGTAGTTTTACAACAGGTGGAGGGCCGCCAGTGTGACACCCCTGACCTAGAACCTCCATGTCAACAGCAGCAGAGCTGGAAATTATGGCATGGAGATCTTTGTTGGGCACACAGGAAGCAAGTCTGACTCTGCCTACCACACTCCACTTGCATGGACCTGCTCTCTGTAAGTTGGGGTAGGGTAGGTTGTCTTTTGTCTCAATTGGACCTAGCATGTGTGTGTATGCATAAGAGATATGGAACTTAGATTGTAAGCTCCATGAGGGCAAGTACTAATGTGAATGTAGAATATATATGTAAAGAGTTGCATAAATTGTCGGCACAATACAAATACCTGCAATAAATAAAATTAATAAATTAGTGTGTACCATAGAACACTGCGAGCGATAGTTGCTGCCACCTGGAAACAGGCTTAAAGTGTATGTAAACCCTTACCTTGTAAAACAACCCATTCAGTTTAAATAAAAATGAAAAACAAAACATTTATGTTTAGATAAATTCATATTTCATATCCTTATGCAGCTGAGAACAGAGAGCTGGGGGAGAAAAAACAGTACAGTGAACTTCCCAGTGAATGGCTGGTCAAGGGGGTGGGTGCGCAGAAGTGTGATCATTGGAGGAAAGCACACTGGGTTCCCAGCACTGCAAGTAAACTGACCATGCTGTGCTCTCCTGCCTAGTGTAATCAGTTATTGATAGGAAATCAGAGGGACTGTCAGGAACACCAGGGATTTCACACAAAGGAAGCAATACAATAAGAACAGGATAATTTTTCATACAAGTACATGGTACAGCTGGCACATATCAGGAATATGAAATGTTGGATTTACATATTCTTTAACCACTTGCCTACAGGGCACTTATACCCGATTCCTGCCCAGGCCAATTTCCAGCTTTCAGCGCTGTCACACTTTGAATGACAATTGTGCGGTCATGCAACGCTGTACCCATATGAAATTTTTAGCATTTTTTTTGTGACAGATAGAGCTTTATTTTGGTGGTATTTAATCACCTCTGGGTTTTTTATTTTTTCTTAAACAAACCAAAAACCACTGGAAATTTTGAAAAAAAAAAAATTGTTTTTTCTTAGTTTTTGTTATAAAGTTTTTGTAAATAAGTGATTTTTCTCCTTCACTAATGTGCACTAATGAGGCTGCAGTGATGGGCACTGATAGGCTGCACTGATGGACACTGATAGGTGGCACTGATGAGGAGGCACTGGTAGGTGGCACTGAAGGGCATTGACAGGCATCACTGATGGGCACTGAAAAAGGCGGCACTAATAAGCGACACTGACTGGCACTGATAGGCAATACTGACTGGCACTGATAGGCGTCACTGATGCACACTGATAGGCGGCACTAACTGGCATTGATAGGTGGCACTGACTGGCACTGATAGGTGGCACTGACTGGCACTGATGGGTGACACTGAAAGGCAGCTCAGATGGGCACTGATATGTGGCATTGATGTGCACTGGTAGGCACTGATATGTGGCATTGATGTGGCACGGATGGGCACTGGCAGGTGGCATGGATGAGCACTGAGAGCTGGCACTGATGGACACTGACAAGTGGCACTGCTGGGGCTACACAGATCATCAGGCCACACTGATCATCAGTGCTCTGATGATCTGTATACATGTCCCCTCTGAGGAATGCCGATTACCGGCTCTCCTCTCCTCACGAGCTGTCAGTGTGACAGCTCGTGGGGGAGAGAAATGCCGATAACTGGCATTTTCCTGTTTACATGTGATCAGCTGTGATTGGACACAGCTGATCACATGACCGAGCCGACATCTTCGGCTCTTTCCGTGGATCGGTGATCCGCTAGGTCCAAAGGACACAGCGCACCGCCGATCGCCGCACTGCGCTCTCTGGGAGCCGCGCATGCGCGGTTAGAATGGGAGGACGTCATATGACGTCCTTCCAGAATGTGAGAACCGCCTTGCGTCCGTCATATTACTATATGGCGGGCGGGAGGTGGTTAACCCCTTCACGCCTAAGGATAAAACAGATCTTAACACCTAAGCACAATCTTGCAACTTTGACTGGTTAGTAAAACTGTACATAACATCACAACTACTTTGTACATCCAGGTGAATTATACCGCGTTTTTTTCAGGGCAAATTGGGCTTTCATTTGGTGGTAAATGGTAATGGGCATCTCCTGATTTTTTTTTTTTTATTATCAAAGGAAAACTGGCCCAAAATAGTAAAAAAAAAATTTTTTTTTTTTAATTTAGCTGTGTGTTTCTTGTTACAACCATAACCTACCACCAAAGAACAATCCAAAACAAATTTTCCAGCTCTTGAAAATCACAACGATACCATATATGTGTATGTTATTTGTTGTTTGTATCCACAGAACAGCCCAGAAACAATAGTGCACATTTTGTTTTTTTTGTTTTTTTTTTCACCTAAAGCACACTGACACTGATACCAATAAAAAAAAAAAAAAATCCTGACCTTGACCCAAACACTAACCCTGGCACTGAACTAGATCAAACCTTGATCTAGGTATTTATTTCTTTATTTTTTAATATTTCTTTATTTGTCTTTTTTTTTTTTTTTTTACAATATATCTCTCTCCTCCATTCATAGGAAAAAAAAAAAACGAGAGGGATGGGCTGTACAGTGTCTGATCACTGTGACAGCCAATCAGAGGCTATCACAGCAATCATGTGACCCAGAATCGGGAGTCCTCGGTCCCGATCGTTATAACGGGACCTGGGGCTTTCAGTGCCACCCCGGTCTTTGTGCTGGGGAGCGCGCTGTGTGTCACTCTCCCGTTACAAAGACAGGTATGCAAATATGCAGCCCCACGGAAAAAAGCCCAGTTCTGTGAGGCCGCATATTTTGTTACGTCGGCATGAAGGGGTTAAACTAGAATATAGGCAAGGATTAAAAGATAAAGAAGCTGCATACTCAGTAAGTGATTAACCACTTGCTGACCGCGCTATAGCCAAATGATGGCTACAGTGCATTCGTCCAGTTCTGGGAGGGTGTTTTATGATGTCCTCCAAGAATCGCACCCGCTGCAGCACGCCGCCGGCTCTCTCTGTGATCCCTGTGTCCTTTGGACATAGCTGATAACATGTGCCGATAAAGGGCCACTTACAGTGGCCATTTACCACTTGATCAGCAGTGTCCAATCACAGCTGATCACAATGTAAACACACTTGCCGGTTAAGGGCAGCACTGTTCTCATGCTGTCACAGCGTGAGGAAAGTACTGCCGATAACTGGCAAGTGTGAAAGGAGACATCTACACTGATAATCAGTGCAGCCCCAACAATGCCCCCAACAATCAGTGCCTCCTCCATGCCCATCTGTGCAGTGATGCCTATCATTGCCAGTCAGTGCCAAGTTGAAAATTGGCCTGGGCAGCAAGGGGGTAAAAGTGCCCAGTAGGCAAGTGGTTAAGTCACTGGTTAAGTCCTGGTCACAGAATCGCGCGATTTGTGTGCAATGTCAGGTGCGATTTTTGAAGACTATTGCTGCTTGTGAAGATTTTCAACGATTTCTTGCCATTTGCAGTGCAATTTCCATTATATTCTATGTATGTGAAATTGCAACAAAACTGCAGAAAAAGTAATGCAAGAACTGCTTTAGAAATCGCACTGCAGCAAATTGCACAGGTTGAGTCACTGACATTCACATTCATTAGATGCAATTTCAGGTGCGATTTCAGTGCGTAAATCACACCGGTGTGACTGGGCAGTTAACCAGTTAAATAAGTCCTTCAAAAACAGCCAAGGGTTTAATATCACTTTAACACGCCCTCTCCCCTTTATGGAAGCATATGTACTTGAATCCAATGGCCGCAGCCCCACAGTTTACTATGAGACTGCGTGTCTGGGCTGGAGATGGTGGAAGGCAGCCGCCCCATAGGTCAGTGGCGCTGTAATGTGCAAGTGCAGCCAGGATGTAAACAATAAACATAGACCGCAGCTATTGGATCTAAATAAGGATGTATCTGTGAATGGGGAGGAGCAAGGACATGGGTAAAAAAGAGAAGTGCATGGTAATCCCACTAACTTGCAGTTGCATTATATTGTTGGGCAGCACAGTGGCTAAATGGTTAGCACTTCCACCTGGCAGTGCTAGGGTCGTTGGTTCAAATCCCAGCCACAGCACCACCTGCCTGGGGTTTGCATGTTCTCCCTGTGCCTGCGTGGGTTTCCTCTGCTTTCCTCCCATACACCAAAGGCATGCTGGTAGGTTAATTGGATCCTGTCTAAATTGGCCCTAGTATGTATGAATGTAAGTTAGGGACCTTAGATTGTACGCCCCTTGAGGGGTTAGGGACTGATGTGAATGTACAATATAGATGTAAATCTCTGCATAAATTGATGGCGCTATATAAGTACCTGTAATAAATAATTATTGTTGATGTTTGGGTTATAGAAGGCCGTTTTGAACATTTACTGGTGGCTTGCATTGACTGACAGCCCTGCACTGTGCAGCATGCATTCCCCCTTTTTCTCATATTATCAGGCAGAGCTGTAGACACCACCCGTTCTCTCCTTTTTGTCCTCCTGTGTTCTCAGAATGCTGACAATGGCTACATCAGAACCAATGAGATGGGAAAAGGGCCATGATCATGCAAGGGCCGAGGCCTGAGCGGTCTGCTATTGAAGGGATTGTTTGGTGGTTGTCATTCAGACTTCATAGGAATGTGCTCTGCTCTTGGGGCCAGGACTGCCTGTGAAAGGCTGAAGTGAATTCCTAATGAAATCTCGCTGTATGTGATGTGAAGTGTGACAGTGGACTGTAATTGGCAGGCCCACAATACGCTGGCACTGGTATAATGGCAGAAATTCTTGGAGATTTTTTTTCTTTTCTGTTTATTTCTTTGTATTTTTAGGGCAACGGAGTGCGATGGGATACTGTTACTGCCAAAGAGGAAAGGAGCAGCAACTTTCAGAAATAATGAAAGCAGGGCCATGTGAACGGTGGCACAGTGGAGTGGAATAGACGTCGGATGCCAGCTTACATAATATAGCTAGTGGCTGTATAGCTACATGTTCTCATTTATTTTGTGCGCCATGTAAATTCGCTCTCAGCATTCTCGGACAGTTTTGCTTCGGCATTACCGTTCCCCAGCCAGCCCTAATTGAACTGTGCAGGATAAGCAGAGAAGCAGCGAGCAGGAGATGCTTAATAATTCATGTGAAAGCTAATGCTTCTATCTGTATGTATGATTCCCACAGACTACAGGCGTGGTCCATCCTGGAGCTGTGTACCATTTATGAGGTTGCTAGGTTACGCCTTGTGACAACAGCAGATCTAGGAGTCAGACCTCTGCACGCTCAAGAGCTTACTATTCATTATACAATTCCAGCCCAAAAGTACCTGATTATCACATACTATCATTAAAAATTAATCTCATTAAGGGCAGATTAAAAAGACCCAAGGTAATGGAAAAAATTGTATTGTTGTTTACTGTATATAATTACATGTATGATTTTTTTTTTTTTTTTTTTTAAATAAATCAGCCCTTTTCAGATTTATTTTTAAAGATTTTAAAGAAAATCTGCAAATAAATCACTGTTACTAGATCTAGACCTCCGTCTACACAGCAGCTGACCACACACATTATGTTCTGATGGTACAATCAACGACTATGTAATGTTAGCGCATGCCAGATATGGATTGGATGGATTGGTTTTAGCATGGGGATCTCATGCTACTTTGCTGTTGGTAAATCTAAAGAGCATAGTACAACGATTGTAGTGTGTGTGGCCAAATTTTAGCATATAGGTAGATTTTAGAAGTCCTGACTCCCTGTGTTTGTACAATTGTGTATATTATGATTGTTTTAGGCCAGTGGTGGTGAACCTATGGCACGCATGCCTCAGCCGGCGCGCAGAGCCCTTTGTGTCAGCACGCGAGCCAAGTCGCCCCAGCAACCGAGCATCAGATAACAGCGCACATAGGGGCCATGCACATGCTTGGAAAGGAGTAGCAGTGTCAGGAGATGATGTCACGAGCTGCAACTTGTCCGAGCTTTTGCCTGGCTGGTCAGTGCTCTGCCAAGGATATATATACATATATGTGTATATATATATGTGTTATATGTATAATATATATATATATATATATATATATAAATATATATATTTATATTGGACTGGCTGTGAGTGTTAATACATTTATTTTTAGTTACACAAGATTTTAGCTTGTGCTGGTGGTTAGCGTAACTTTTGCCCCCTTGTACTGGTGGTCAGCGGAACTCTGTCTCCTTGTGCCGGTGGTCAGCGGAACTCTGCCCCCTTGTGCCGGTGGTCGGCGGAACTCTGCCCCCTTGTGCCGGTGGTCGGCGGAACTCTGCCCCCTTGTGCCGGTGGTCGGCGGAACTCTGCCCCCTTGTGCCGGTGGTCGGCGGAACTCTGCCCCCTTGTGCCGGTGGTCGGCGCGGAACTCTGCCCCCTTGTGCCGGTGGTCGGCGGAACTCTGCCCCCTTGTGCCTTGTGGTCGGCGGAACTCTGCCCCCTTGTGCCGGTGGTCGGCGGAACTCTGCCCCCTTGTGCCGGTGGTCGGCGGAACTCTGAACCCCCCTTGTGCCGGTGGTCGGCGGAACTCTGCCCCCTTGTGCCGGTGGTCGGCGGAACTCTGCCCCCTTGTGCCGGTGGTCGGCGGAACTCTGCCCCCCTTGTGCCGGTGGTCGGCGGAACTCTGCCCCCTTGTGCCGGTGGTCGGCGGAACTCTGTCCCCTTGTGCCGGTGGTCAGCGGAACTCTGTCCCCTTGTGCCGGTGGTCAGCGGAACTCTGCCCCCTTGTGCTGGTGGTCAGCTGAACTTTACCCT